GTGGATATAAATTTTTTAATTTGTATATCGTGCGGTGCTGAGATTCCTACATGTAAGAGGAAACATACATATTCGGCGCTTGTTATATTATTAAAACATGTTCTGATTAATGTAGTTTCAATTGATAAAGTTATTCAACACTTTCGTCTAAGTATGTTTTACCACTCAATTTAATTGATATGTTATTTACTGCCTAAAATAGAATAGTGAAACACTTAAATTACTTAAAATAATTACCAATAGATACTTAGTTGTAAATAATATTCAATATCTCACTTACATCCCTTGTCACACTTATGCCCACCCCCCTAAGTTCCTCAGGAATAAAGTTTCCTAGAAATTTTGGCAGTAATTTTTTGTAAAACATTCAGTAGCAGCACTTAGTGCACAGTCAGCAAATAAAAAATCATCGTAAAGACATTTGTCAATGTGGAACTTCTTTTCAAGCAGTGATAATGAAATTTCGGGAAACTAAATTTCTAATGTGTTATAACTACTACCATTAAGATATGTACTGAGAACATCTACACATATTCAAATTTATAAATTAAAAAAGCATCAATGATAATTAATTTGTTTGTTTCATAAATTTGAAACTAGCACGCATGAGTCAAGGTATATTGATTGTTGTTGTGATAATAATTTCCAAATTTTCCCAACAAACAGGACGCCTAAAGTTAATGTATTATATGAATTTCATAAACTGTTAGTATATAATTAAATTATGTAAAGCAAGTTAAAAGCTCGCCTTTTATGCAAACAAATACATATTGCACATGGAAATATGATTATAAAATATAAATCAGAAGTTGACTGAATTAACTGAAACTTAATTTTAAAATCCTTTTATAAATATAACTAATAATGTTTATGCATGAATACTATTACTAAAGAAAATGATGATAAAATTCATGATACACTTTGATAAATGGAATCACTATATAAACATGTATTTCCATGTACACCATTTGCAACATGATTATGGTTGTAGAATCAATGTGATTTAATCACAAATTTTCGTCCTATATAATAACTGTTAATTTTTTATTAGAAAAAGTTATATTGATAATCCTAAAAATTAGACTAAATGAACAAATCCAAAGAATAATCTCAAATTTGATTCTACAACCTTTGACTTGGAACATGGATAGCATTGTATCTACCTCTATTATATACTGTTGTACAATTATAGGAAGGGTAATAAAAAAGATGACAGAACATACATAGGTAGTTTGGTGCAGACCCACCTTTCCTGGGACGCCACCAGTCAATCTCAAAGTAGCCTGCGGAGTAAGAGTGAGTTGGTGTTGATGTTGAACAGGAGTAGATGGTGTATGCAGAAGAAGATGCGGACAGTCCTTGTGTCCAACACCGGTTGATTTGATTGATTGTATCGCAAGACAATGGGATACGCGTATATTTAATAATACCGCAAAATCAGTTAGATAACAGCATACGCAAATAACATGGAATGTATCTCATGTTTATGTTAGAAACTTTGATCTTAAACAACATACAATTATATGTATCACATTCGTGCTAACAGACTATTTTCAAATCTTTTCAAATTTTACGTTTTCATAAAAACATTGCAGTAAAGTAGGTGGTATTAAAAAGAAATATTGTAAAAATCTCGCAAAGTATTATTTTGTAGTACTGTTTACAGTCTAAAAATGAGCAGTTAAGTAAGTTCAAAATTTTAATAGAACTAACTGAAGTTGCGAATGGACGAAACAGAAGTATGAAATATAAAAAAAACATAGTTGCCACCACCAGGAAAGGCAATATTTGTATCCATAACCTGATTAAGTATTGAGTGAGTGTTATTCATATCTACTGCTATACTTTCTAAATAGTTTAGTATCCACATATGTAGTTATCAGTAAATTTTCTATTCTTTCATAAATTCTTTCTTCACAAATTAAATTATAGTAATTAAACTTTAAAACACTATATTCAACCATAGAAATATGCATATATTTTTTGTTCACTTAAGGAAATATAATATTCCTTCTTTACAATAACATAAAAACTTATTGCTTTTTCAGTGACATTATAATTAAAATATCATCAACTAATGTTAATGCGAAAAACGCGTTTCCACACATTTTTTATTTAAATAATGGCTTAAACACATGGTAGTAAACAAAAATTTATTTCATAATGATTCTGACTGTTTAAAAAGTGTTGAAAATTGTTGACAATTCAGCAAAGATCAATACACATAATGAAGGAATAAAATGACAAAATTATATAAATAAATAACATGCCAATCTTACATATAAATATTTTGAGAATATGTAAGTTTCCTCATTAGCTACAATTAATTATAAAACCCAATGTAAATTGTAAATTCATTTCTTATTATCACAATGCAAATTGTAGTTATAAGTAAAACAAATTATGCTAATGTATCTAATTGTACATTACAATGAATGTGTCTCATCAATTAAAATATTATACAATAATGTTAATGCTTGACACATGTGTTATACAAATATTAATAACACAATGTCACTAATCACATATACCTTTGAATTACGTATTTCCATATACACCACCCACTTTACCATATTCAATGAATGCATTAACAAATCATTATTAGTATGAAAAATATAGTTACATTAAAACAGAACAATTTTTTATAATATTATAAGTATGCTGTGTATTGGTAAATTGTCATTTCAATGCATTTCAATCCTTTGTAATCTCATGTGGATATCTTATGAATTTGAAAAGTTAAAACTTTGTACTCTAAATAAAATAGAACTTTAATTTTAAAGATATGTATGTTATATATGTAAACAAAAAATACAAATTTTTGAATCCGAAATCCTATTTTATTTTATAAGGGATGAAATTGTGGTACCTTTATTCATTTTTTAACGACTGCCATAAATTCTAACCTATAAAATTGTATCTCTATATAGCAAATTTAGGTAAAAAATAAAATATCATTTAATACATTAACAGATTGTTAAAATTTTTCTTATATTTAAAGATGTAATATAACTTTAATATAATTTATCAAATATGAAATATTACAATGTTAGCATGAGACTACAAAGGTGTAAAATTGAAAATTACAAAATTAGCTACATCTTTAAATTACAATGAGATACCCAGTATATGTATGTTGAATATTACTATAATTCTGGAACCTTTTTGAAAGACCAATTATAAATGTTAAAATAATACATCTGTATAACTGTATATTCGTGCTTTTATTTATTTTAAGCTTTCATGCTTTTGTTCATAATCTAAAAACGAATTTGCAAATGTCTGAATAGAAAAAAAACATTTTATATGTTACTACAAAATGATTGTTTTCTTAAATATATTTTTCATAAAATAAGGGTTAATTTGTAACTAATATACAAATACATGAATTTTTTGTAGTATTTTAACATACATAGTTAATCCTCAAAGAATATTCCAAATTTTTAGTAATACTTTGTAGATATGTAATAATAATTTGTTTCTTTAAATCAACATTAGTGCAATGTACAGTATAAATATTTTCTGATTAAACACATTTTTAAATTCACAAAAATCAACATATAATGTAATAAATAAATTATAAGATAAATACAGTGACTCACCGTCATGAGATGTGTGCGTTGTCTGAATTGTTTGAGTTTGTTTATTATAGACCACTGGTTCCTTTGGCGGAATGTTGGTATGGGCAACAGAAACAATTGTGAGTTCTCTGTTTTTCCTCCTTCCAGAGCTGCTATAAAAGAGACATGTAATTGTGCCATAATATAAATATAAATACACTGAACAAAATGTTTAAGCATTAAAATAAATACCTTTGGGCAGAATTTATACTGGATGGCTGTAAACTAGCATCAGGTGTAGCATTAGCACTTTGTTCTGGAGTTAATGAATTCAAACTCGATAAACTTGATAATACATCTGCAAATAAAATAAGTGATAGGACAAATTTTAAATAAACCATAAAATAAAATTATTTACCTGACACTGGAGCTACACCTAAAGATGATAGCATAGCATCTAATTCCTTGCGGTGGTCTTTATCTGTACCTGCAGCACGGACCGTAGCTTCCTCAACCTTGACATATGAAGTATGGTTAGATGTAGTTTGACATATACAAAAATATACATATTTCATATAAATAAAATACTTTACATCTTTTTGTTCCTTTTCTCGCCTGCGTCTTTCTTTTTCTTCTCTAATAGCCTGAAGCTTTGCCTTCTTTCTTTCAAGCTCAGCTTTTCTATCTGACATCATTGTACTAGTTTCTTATCACCTAAACAATATTAGTAGTTGTATTAAGCAAATTGAAAAACACAGCAATCATTTTGAGAATAATATCAAAATTATGAATGTCTTGCTAATTCATGAAATTTATTAACGGAACTGGAATCGAGTTTGGTGCGATTATTGATTTCTCCCCAGTGACGTCAGATTCTATAGAATCTGTGAAAACTATATCGGCAAATGTGTATATGAGAAGTGCATTTTCACGTATATTCAATGAATAATCGTATTATATTAAATATGCGCAAACCACATTATAATTAACATAAATTCTTGTTAGAATATCACGGAATCTACTCGTCGAATAACTTACAGCTGTCATTCAGAAATACTGATATAAAAAATTTATCTTATAAACATTCGACTTTATTAGAAATACTTATAAAATACTTACTTTAAGTAGTAAAATTTACTTCACAAATTTGAGCACTAAAAACCGTTATAGTTGCTGATTTCTACATCATCTATTCCACCCATCCGACATGCAAACCTTTTGCATTGCAACAATAGCACCACCGTATCAATATCTCGTACTAACGAAATAGCTAGCCATTTACAATGCAGTTTCCTGCATATCACTGTACGTAGTTTACAGATTTCTATGTTAGATGGCACTTTAAGAAATTTATTGCGGTAAAGAAGAAATAGACCTACTTTATTTACAGAGTTAAAATTTAGCTGTATTTCCAAAAACTTGACAAATCCGATTGGGCTGAAATGTTGTTTAGAGGACCTTTCTAAATAGAAACAATATTTGAGAGATGGATTTTGGCAATTCCAAAGTCAAGACATAATTTTAGAAAATAAGTTTTATCATAATAATATCACTTCCTACGATGCCGACACAACGTAAAACAACGTAAAAAGGTATAGTAGTACCTTGATATTTTTTCTTCATTAATTCAATGTATATACACATTTTATATCTTCTAATAATTATATAAAAGGATCTATTTCAGTTCTTTTTATTTCATATCATCACAAATATTCACGTAAAAGTATTCAAATAGAAATTGAATATAAATATTTGAGTATTCCACAGGTTTGGACTGAAATGATTTTTGATGATTATAAAGTTAAAGCATGGGAACTTCCCCTCCTTCTGCAACCCCTCACGTGAAAAGTCCATCATACCGGGAATCAAACATTGAGGTACTAGAGGGTGGCTTGGGCCTTTGTTCGAGCGTCATTGACTAAGTACTTGGTATATACCAGGGGCTGGTTTATGATGCGTCAATTATTATTAAAATTTAAGATTCAAAGCGCTTTATTCTCACATCTGGAAGCCAAAAGTAGAAATGTTTAGCACTAAAACTACCGAGCAGTTTAACTTGACATTTTGAAATTCCTCTATACAACTCAAATAATGCATCTATCGAGACTTTTATTGATTTAGAATTTAGCTTGAGTATTGCTAAATCAGTTTCTTTAATAATTTCTCAGAGAAACATCTGTTCTCTTTTTAATAATCGCAAAAATAAGAAGTCCTATATTATAACGGTGACGTGAAGAGTGATCCTATAATGGTAAAATATTTTTTCACAAAATTTTGTATCTTAACTTTGGAATTGTCAAAAATTCCTCTCACAGACATTTTCTCAATGTAAAATAAAGCTGGAGGTAGGATATTAGTTCAATCAAAATATAAAAGTTATTTAAAATAATATTAAATTCCTATTAAATTCATAAAATGTTATATTATTTCATAGGTATCTATAATTCAAATAAATTGTAATAGTTTGTTTTAACAAACAATCGTACGAAAGGATATGCTTCTATTACAACTTAAATATGAACTGAGAGCTTTATAACTGCATTTATCAATTGCATGCACATTTGCTCCTATAAAAGTTTGGTGGCCGAAAAATTACTTGCTAAGAACTTTCGTAATACACCTTACGTTATAAAGCAATTGCTGTTTCATGGAAATAACGTTATAGCGGGAAAAAGGGAAAGGGCGAAGGTGATTGTAGAGAGGTTGAGGGGGGCAGCATTGAGACACACGATCAAAGAAAACTTTTGTAAATTTAGCTTCGAAATTAGCTTGACACTAATTTCACGAGGAAGCGTGGGCAAGACTAAAAAAGTCAGGAAAAAGATTGACCGGGGGAGGTCGACCTCGCGTGATGCTTCATACCGACTTCGCGTGTCGAAGTCTGATTTGCTTTGTTGAATCAAGTGTATACCGGCTGTTATATCTTGCACAGAAGCGAATGAGATAGTGCATTTTCCTTCTTTTATATCCTGTTACCTACTCCGACTTCATTATTTTCGTCAACAATTAGATTCCCGATAAAACGTCTGGTTGTCAGTCTGTTCGTGAAATTATAATGTACTGCCATTATGGCAGTCCTGATATTACTCGAGCTCTTAAAATTAAATGAAGCCGGTGAAATCGTTTAAGTGGAGTATTATTTGTGTTAAACATGTTTCACATATATTATGTGTAAATTCGACTTTATTCTTAACAACGGAAAGTCTTTAACACTGTTGTCACGTTGAAATATGATCTTTTAGAATAAAAGAATTTATTATACATATAAATAGACACAAGGAAAAGAATAATTCCAATGTAATTCTTACTGATTTATTTTTGTAATATAGATTTATTGCAGAATTCGCATTTTTATTCTTTGTCACGCATACATAAGTACACTATTTATATGAAAGAATAATTGCTGTATATACTACATAAAGGTGAATGTATAATAAATAGAATAACCAGTTTCTAGTTAAAAATTGAACAGTTTATCATTTTAGGTAAAATAATGTTTACCACGTGTCTCGCGAGATTTACATATATTTTTCCAAAGTATTTTGTATTTTTAAAAAATATTAAATTTGATTAAAAGTGATTACCTATTTAAAATATGTTACATAACAATATGATATTTGAGTTTTTCTGTACATATAATCACACAAATTGATCTCACTGAAAATCGCTATCCGCACAATTCAGTTTTCTAAAAATTAGTCGGTACGCAATGTGTTAACATCACACTGAGCGCAGCATGAAATTTCTTTAGAAAATAGAGAGCAACATTTATATAGATTTCCTTTCGCATTACAATTCACATTTCTGTTCACCGTACCGGGCGCTGTATAGTCCCAATAGTTCCCACGAACCTTGTATATTTGCCAGATAAGTGGAAAGCCAGTGCCGTAGAGGTCAAACTTTCGGTGGATTTACGGAATCTCAAATCGTACCAACGTAAGCGGATCTGCCCTCTCTGGTCAAACGAGTAAAGGTCAGCCTTGTCCGGCGAAGAGGGGGCGAAGGAAGAGGGAAAGTGCGGGTTCCTCTATATTTGAGGTAGGGAACACGGAGTTGATGACCTCTAGAGAAAGTACAGATGAACGAAGGGATGAAGAGGATAGAAGTGACCTCGCATTTGCCGCAGAGTCGTCTGATGAACCACCTGGTGGACGCGCATTGCTTCTGAGAGCTAGAAAGCAAAGTTACAACAACATGCCTCGTTTCATCTCTCTTAACCCCTTCATTCCCTGTCCTACGTTTATGTTGCAGGTTTCATGCGCTAATGCTTTTAACCCACAGGTTACTTAGCCAGTTATTTTCAGTCTAAATAACGAGTTACTGTTCTCGTTTGATAAAGTAAATTAACGAAACACGTATCTCTTTACAGGTTTTAGTTTTGCTCTTGGCTGGAAGTTTACTTAGCATGAACCAATTTGGCCCATTTTCGTACTTACGCCTATTTTTCATGGGTAAAATGTATGGTTCCTTCAATTTCTATTAGCACCGAGTATCGTTATAATCTATTCGTAACACAAGTGAAGTACAAAGCGTGTCAAGCATTCTTCTGAAATTTAGATTATAGCTTTGCTGTAATTATTATAAACATTTTTGAACTGCATTACAAAAATACTTTGTTACTCTAAGATATTTAAGGATAGATTTGTATAAACCAATGTAAAATATATAAAAATTAAATGAAATATACAAAACTGTCTAAGTTTATTCAAAACATTCAAATACTGTAGAATAAAATTAATTGTGTGCTAGATACACCAGAGACAATTTCTTTACGGTAACGTTACCTGAAGTAACAACATTACAAAGCACAAAAGTTTCATCAGTTTCCCTGTATACGCAGAAAAATTATATAAAATATATTTTCCTACCCTTAAAAGTATTTAAAATAAACAATTCAGTTATTACGATAGTAGTGGCATTTGTGATTTTACTGAAGTTATTTTTAATTAGTTCCGTCAGCTGAAAGGACCGTGTATACTTTCAGTTTGAACTGTAAAGGAAGTGGGTAGAGTTGGATGATACTAAACGAGGGGTGGAAACCGTTCAGAAAAGTTGATCGGCGTTAATTCGCCGATCAGACGAGACTTGTGTGCTCAGTACAGTTTACCTAAAGGTTTAGTAAAATCAATACTCTGTAAGTTCCTCGAGACGAAAAGTCCGTTAACATGATATTATCGTCTCTTTGAATACTAATTTCCACGGTATGCTGTGTACCAGATAGTTGAGATTTTTTACGATGCTATCGTGCCGGCACTATAATACGATGTACTTTTTGCTTGTATCAGAGATTAATGAATGCGTGCAGCGAAGAACCACGACAAATTTTTGATTAATAGCACATCAAATTGAAACGCCCAGCTATATGATCTAGTACGTGTATAAGATGTTTTGTAACTGACGGTAAAACGGGAAAAGGGATGATTTTACAAAAAAAAAGACTGAAAACATAGATTAACGTTATTTTACATAAAGCTTCGTCTTCAATCGGTTGAAATCGATTCTAATCGATCTCGAAAAGGGTAATATTGAAAACTTCGAACTTTTACAAAAATTCAAAGTTCAGAAGTCTTTTATATTTAACATTTTTAAACAGTTTATTATTGGCTATAAATTATATATTCAATTATAATTTTATGTTTTATGTTATGAATGATATTCATCAGTAACTCATAATCTAACTGTAAGTCACAATTACGAATATTTTATTATATTTCTCTGTTTATTACGATACTTCTCACTTCTGACAGAAATCATTATTGGTTTTTAATTTCTTGGAATAGGTGTAACAATTAGGAAATAAAAGAACTTTTCTCTTAGTAATTTCATTTGTTATTGTCAAATCATTGTATAAATCATTTAATTTCTAATATTATTTAATACAGAGTCAAGAAAAATAAATCAATAAGGCACACTGCTAAATGACCATTGAAGGACTATGTAAATTTATCAGAATATTAATTTATAATTAAAAAGTAATATTACTTCAGGGACTTAATGTCGATGACAAAGTATTCCCGTAAATTGGAAATTCAATCTATTAAATGTTATACCTGTGCGTCACCCCAGTACTGTCTTAACTGTGGATTTTAAGGAAAAGTGGGACTCTGCCACTCACTTCTTCGATCTTGTATGTCTGGGAAAATGTCCAATGCTGCCACCCTTTACAGACTTCCTTTGCGATTCCTTGGAAGTGCGACAAAATTACCTTCCCTTTTGGGCGAGTGGTTAATTAAATTTCTTCGTCTTTCATTTCTCTCTCGAGCAGGTGCACCATTAACGTCG